GGGTGTTTTCCCCCTTTTTTTTTTTTTTTTTTTTTTTTTTTTGCTTTATATATCAAATCAGTAAATACCTCATGTATACCACGTAAGACGACTGCGATAATGAGTGACTGCAAATAATATTATTCTTATTAAAACATTCACATCTTAGAGGTAAAATATAAATTGAAAAAGGTTGGTTACTCAACAAATGTTATCATATAGCTTTATTAGTCAGAATTATGACTCAGCTTTATGTAATTTTCAACTATTTTTTCTTGGGAAAAATCAGTATAGTATCCCTTCCCAACTTGTAGACCCTCTTCCTTAGCAAGCTGCTCAATTTGAACTTGAACTTGACTGCCACCAACTCTACTTGGTTCTAGCAAATTGCAGGCTACCTCAACTATACCTTCACCATGAGCAAGTGCCATAGACTGCACTGAATGGAGTCCACCCCACCTACCACTCACTCTCTTTGCGATTTTACGAACTGCTGTTATGTCATTAGAGAATATCGGTACATTGTAGTTGTCAACCCATGGAGTTGCTCCAATTACGACAATACCCTTGCCTTGAACCGCTTGAGGAGGTCCCCTGTCAGGACTCAGTTGCAAAAACTCGGATTTAGGCCCACCAACCCACTGAATATCACCTGAATTAGGCTTGAAATACCCGAGTTCTCTTCTGATTGAATCAAGGGTCCTTGCCTCTCCATGTGCAGCTCCATATAAGAAGGTAGCAACTGCAAGCAATGTTTAAAATCAGTAACAAATTCGAAAAATAGAGAAAATATACGATATTGATGCTCTCTTCATCTCTTATTGTGTAGCTTTGTTGGAACCAATGCCATAAGAAACATAAGATACTCATCATGATAGCTACATGAACCTGATAAATTGGATCTCATCAAACCTGGAGGGATAAACTTGGGCACAAATTGGTAGTCTTTCTTTCATCAAATGAAAAGAAAAAGAAAAATGTGTAACCTACAGATCGTGGCACTACAGACTTGATAGTAAGTTTTCTCTAATATGCCTAAATTTGCGTTTTCACCAAGTTAGAGCACTGAATTTCAGCCCCATGACCACTTCCCCTTATGGAAAATGCCTTAAAAGCATGAAATGAAGTTATGTAACAATATTTCCGTGTAAATAGGATTTTGGGACAATTGACTTTAATAGTGAACGCTTTCATGTTCTAATCAAGGGGGTAAATAAAGTGGGTTAAAGAGTTCGTAATTTTGCTCTTGAACTAAAGATTTTATCATATTTATGAGGCAGTAATTAAAATGAAAAAACAAAGCAACAGAAAATCAGCATTTCAAATATGTCTAAGGAATTGTCTAAACACGAAGGAAAGTGGACTTAATTGTGGACCTGTATGTCAAAGAAAATGCACTAGAAACACAGACACGGTATGCAAAGCTTAAACTCGTACTGATAATAAACATATGTGCAATTTCAATTGTGTTTGTAATGACCCCAAAATATATAGGCTCCAGTTTTCTACCTATGTTTATGAATGGAAGACATGATATGTTTGATCACTTGGAGGAAGGTGAGTGATTTCAAGTCAATTGTGCCAAGAGCTAAGAAAAACAAGTAGTTGCTTGCTGACAATTACTCAATCGCAAGAATACTAATCGAGTTATATTTGTCAATCATTAAGGAGTTCTTGGTTGCAATTATGCTAGTAATCATTCAACCTGAGATATCACATTTGTCTTCTACATGACTACTTAACTTTGATAAATGAATGCATTCATGTTCTAATCAAGGATGTGAATAAAGTGGGGTTAGCAGTTTGTAAATTTGTACTTAAGTTTCAGCCTTCGGTCTTTATCAAAGAAATGTAAAGTGGTAATTAATATGGAAAAATTCAAAGATGTTTAAAGAATTGTCTAAACACAAAGAAAAAGTCTTCATTAAGGACCTGTATATCGAGGATAATGCACTAGGCACAGATAAGGCAGGCAAAGCTTAAACTAATAATGATCATAAACATAAATGCTATGTCAAATGTTTTCAGCTGTTTGCAATGACCCAAAAATATATAGGCCGTTTTTTCATATCTATGATATGAAAATGAGGCCATAGGTTATGAAGAACTCTCCAAATTGCCATATCTGAAAAACCAATTGAATTAGCGATTCAGATTCCTCTTCTGCAGTGAACCAAAAAGGATGGAAGATGACCATTTGGACAATTTCCCAGAACTCATTTCAATCACAGCCAAATGAAATTCCCAAATTAATTTCTATGCACAATATATGTTTAAAATCATTAACAAAGCCGATAGATAGAGAGAAAGGAAAATATTGTGTTTCGCTTAATCCTAAGGGACGTGAATGTTTAACAATTGAAAAAGGATATGCCAATTCTGATATTACAAGTCACTCCATTGCAAAACAAGTTCCAGAACTCAAATCCCCACCGCCTCAAATACAAGCACATACATACAAGCACTTGAGCAAATGATTAAAGAACCAAGTAAAGATCTCAAATGGATCTCATCAAACCAGGAGGGATAAAGTTGTGGACAAATTGGTTTGAAAAGAAAGAGGAGTAACCTTCTAGTTAGGTGCTACAGAGTCGATAATAAGTTCACCCTAGTATGCAAAAAGCCGTGTTTTTATGAGTGCTCAATACAAGTAGTTAACAGCCAACGAAATTCCCGAATTAATTTTCCATGCACATCACATCTTCATGTTCCACTTCTGTAGAACTCATTATAGATTCCTCTTGACACCTCATGAAGAACGAACAATAATAGAATCTTAACACATTAAATGAAATTAGCCCAACTGAGAAAATCTTCAAAATCTCGGTTTCAAGAGAACAAACCTTGAAGCCTTGAGCCAACATCAGCAGCCAGAGATTTTGCGGTCCCTGCAACATCATCCAAAGAAGCACCAACCAAGGGATGGAAACAAATGTGGTCCACAACACCAAGCCTAGGATGAGTCCCAGTGTGCATTTCAAGATCAATGGATAGAAAAGCAGCTTTCACCATTTCAAAAACGGCACTCTTGAGGGTACAACATGGAACCAATTTGGACACAAGGGTGTACCCAACTCTATTATAAGTTTCGTCTTCAAATTTGTTGACAATTGGAGCCTCTGGAAAAAGATTGGCAGCCCTTTCAATTGACTCCAATGCAGCCCTGTTTCGACTTTCAGATATGTACACCTTGCAACATGCCAGCATCTGCTTTAACATTTTGCTTGTATACGACTAGATTTAATTCACATCCTACTGAAAAAAATAAAAAAATGGATACATCAATAATTGATGCCACTGAAATTTCATGGCTGTCAACAATTTCAGTCAGGAAAACAATAAAATTCAAAGGAATACCCAATATTTGTCTAAGGGAGTAATGTGAAATCAAAACAGAAATTTAACTTCTTGTGAGAAATTGTAAAGCCATAAACATTGAACGACACAAAGAACCAAATAAAAATGAGTTTATCTGATTTGTTCGAGCCGAATGCCGTGGGGAATTACCTGGAGCAGACAAGGAGGCCTCATCCCGTCGACGTGTGCTTTTTATCCCTACTTCTTGATTTTTGTCCGATTTTGATCATTTTTCATCATAATCGAAAGTTCCAAAAGTTTTACATTGACCCCTGAACCTACATAATCTTCTGAAATTAGTCCTCCACTAGTTTTGAAAATGTACCATTTTATTCTCTTAAACTTTCGATCAGCTGAATTCACTCTTAAAACTTATGATTTTCCTATGATAGCTGAATTTTTTTTTCCATGCAATCCAGTTAGCCTTTAATTGCTCCAATTCAACTCTAGTTAGACTCATACAATTCGTCCTTTTGCTTCGAATATATCCAAATTTGAGTTTTATCTACACAATAATATTCACGCTAAATTAAGTAAATTCACTCAAATTTATAAATATAATTTACCTTTGTAAATACAAATAAGCGTGTAAAATACACTTATCACTTCCTTCAACATTCGAGGAAGAAAGGTAGTTAGAGAATGATTTTTTCTAGATTATAGATGTTTTATTATTATTATTATTATTATTATTTGCAAATTAATTTTAACTTATTGATTATAGTTACCCAAACAAGATTGGGACAAATTGCCACATAAATGTGAAACGACTACTCAATGACCCCAAACATGATTGAGTATATTTATTTATTATTTTAATATTTCAATCATGCTTATTTCTGCTATCCACTTGTTATTAAGTTATTTACTACAATCTTATTGTCCACAATCACATTATGTAATATTTAGTTTATTTCATTAATTTTTATTTTTTCATATCTAATTTTTGCCAAGTCAAATTATTATTTGTTTGTATTTCATTTTTTAGTGATTTTTTTTTAATAAAATTCACAACCTTTAAAATAAATATATTACTTGATAATATATTAACATAAAATTGTTCTATTTTTACTAAATAATCAATTTTCATGGAAGCAAATGTATTTTCTAATTTTTTTTGTTTTGAGAAATGATTTTTTTTTTTAAATAACAAATCAAACACATTTTTAGTAATCTAAAAATCAACCCTTAAAATAGAAAATTGAAATTTAACTCAAAACTGAAATATAAATCAAATAAACCGTAGGTGTCTCCAACTGAGATTTAGACATCCTCAATAATTTCATTAATAAAAAGGGATTTCAAAATAATTGGATAGATTTCAAGCTTAAAATTAAACTTAAAAAACTCTTGAAATTTCAATACATTTTATAAGATTCTTTTGGATTTTATGGAAGTCTATTCAATTTGATTAAAATTCATAATCTTTTAAAATCAATTAAAAAATCTCAATTGAGTACACCCTTTTAGTATGACATATCAAACAAGTAATATTATTTATCAACATCTTTAAAGTTAAAATAAGATTTTAAAAAAAAAAAAAAAAGAAGAAGGGGACCTTTCTCTTGACCTCAAAAGCAACAAAATCTCTTTTTTTTTTTGTCTTTTTTTTTTTTTCATATGGAAAGATATTTTTGCAGAGCATGGGCCGACGCTTCGATTCTTAAATTTACACCTAAAAAAATTTTCATCTTAATTATTTTAACATCTAAAAAAAATTTATATATAAAAAAAGTCGATAATTTTTAGGAATTTTTTTTCTTATTGTTACTTTTTTTTCTTGATAAATTAATTTTTAAAATAATCTAATACAATTTTTTGCATAAAAGAATGATTATTAAAAAAATTTACGTTAAAACCAAAAAAAAAAAAAAAAAAATTTGACGTTAAAAAAAAAAGAATTAAAAAGGAAAAAAGAAATAATTTTTTTTAAAAAAATGCATTTTTAACACATACGTTTAATCTCCGTTTAACTATTTTCGATATTTATTTAGACCATTCGTTATCTCTACGATATAGTTCTCAAAATGAGTTTCGAGAGAATGTAAACATTTACCGATTCGACTATCGTACAATCGTCGACGAATTTTTAAAGTTAACTTGTTATCGAAAATTTCGAAATAGTAATAAAATAATTGATTTTTTTAAGAAAAACGAATTATGCGTATTTTTTAACACATACGTTTAATGTCCGTTTAACTATTTTTGATATCTATTTAAATCATTAGATATCTCTACGAAATAGTTCTCAAAATGAGTTTTGAGAAAATGTAAAATATTTATCGATTCAACTATCACACAGTCGTCGATGAATTTTTAAAGTTAGCTTGTTATCGAAAATTTCGAAATATAGTTTGAAAATGCTTACATTGACGTCCGATAATATTTGTTATGATTGACCGTTTCACGCACCGTTAACGACGTGCAATACTATGTCGCGAGTGCTTCAAAACGATATTAAGAATATAATATTTCGACTTCATTTGATATCCTGTAATGAGCCTGAAAATAAACACAAAAACATAAGTAAAAAAAATTTTTGAGAGAATGTAAAACATTTATCGATTCGACTATCGTATAATCTTCGACGAATTTTTAAAATTAACTTGTTATCGAAAATTTCGAAATAGTAATAAAATAATTGAATTTTTTTTAAGAAAAACGAATTATTCGTATTTTTTAACACATACGTTTGATATCCGTTTAACTACTTTTGATATCTATTTAAATCATTCGATGTCTCTACGATATAGTTCTCAAAATTAGTTTCGAGAAAATGTAAAATATTTATCGATTCGATTATCGCACAGTGGTCGATAAATTTTTAAAGTTAGCTCATTATCGAAAATTTCGAAATATAGTTTGAACATACCTACTTTGAAGTCCGATAACATTTGCTATGATTGACCGTTTCACGCACCGTGAACGACGTGCAATACTATGTCACGAATGCTTCAAAACGATATTAAGAATATAATATTTCGACTTTATTTAATATTCCGTAATGAACTTGAAAATGAACACAAAAATATAAGTAAAAAAAAAGTAAAAATTTGAATTCAGGCACTCCGCGCAGCGCGGAGTGCTTGGAAAATTTTATTTTATTATATTGTATTATTTTTTTTAGGTAATTCGACTATAACTTTGGCTACGGTTATCAGAATCCTGCCCATGACCCCAATTCGGAAAGCTCTTTTCAACGCGCACGTCGTGGCCACCCAGCTATGCTGGGTGGATATCATTTTCGAGGTCAAAATTCGATGTTTTCTCTTCCAAATCTCCTATAGTTATTTTCTTCATTTACGCGTTTGATGTACGTTTAACTATTTTCGATATTCATTTAAATAATTCGATATGTCTATAATATAATTCTCGAAATAAGTTTGATAGAATATAGAAAATATATTTTTTATAGATGTTGGTAAAATATTTTTTTTTTGTTTTTGGCAAAAAAATTTCTAATAAAATTATTATCGCCCTACTTTTCTCAATTCCTTTACGTAAAATGTATAAAAAAATATATTTTCTATATTACATCGAAACTCATTTCGAGACACGTCAAATGATTTAAATGAATATCGAAAATAGTTAAACAAACATCAAACGCGTAAATGAAAAGGAACGGAAAATAGCGAATTTTGACCTCGAAAACGATGTCCACCCAGCCTAGCAAGGTGGCCACGACGTGCGCGTCGAAAAGTGCTTTCCGAATTGGGGTCATGGGCACGATTTTGACAACCGTAGCCAAAGTTATGGTCGAATTACCAAAACAATCCGTAAAAAAAAAATAATAATAAATAAATAAATAAATAAATTTAGTGAAGCACTCCGCGCAGCGCGGAGTGTCTAATTTTACTCTTGTTCTTCTGTTTTTTTTCTTACGGACTTATTTTTTTTCTAAATTTATTATTATTATTTTTTTAATTTGGCTATAAGTTTTGCTACAGTTATCGGAATTGAGCCCATGACCCCAATTCAGAAAGATCTTTTCGACACGCACGTCATGGCCACCTAGCTTCGCTTGGTAGACATCGTTTTTGAGGTCAAATTTCGTCGTTTTCCCTTCCAAATCCCCAATTATAGTTTGACGTCAAATTTAAAAAATGCGTATAACTCGTCATTTTTTTTAATGCAACATCTATAAAAAATATATTGTCTATATTTTATCGAACTCGTTTCGAGAACTATATTATGGACTCATTGAATTGATCTAAATGAATATCGAAAATAGTCAAAGTTACATCAAACGCGTTTCTTAAAAAGTTTACAAAAAATATATATTAATAGTATAATTAAAAAAATTAAAATTAAAATTAAAAAAAAACTTGTCTGTGCAAAGTCAACAACTGTGGGCGCAAGTGACCATTAAGCCCTCAATGTGTTAATTAGTGTAAGATGGAATTTTCAAGAGTAAAGTGGGAAAACAATGTAAAGGAGGAAAAAAAGGACAAACTACTGTAGCAAAATCGGATAAATTGGATTCAAGTGTGAAAACGGCTGTGACATAAATGAACAGTACCAAAAGCCTCTCTTTTAAGAGAGTAAAGACTACTTGAGCTTTATGGTGACTAGCGAGCGAGCTTGAATTGAGCAGTCAAGGTTAATTTACATGATCAAACTAAAGTCCCAATAAAAACCTAAAGAAGTATTTGATGTTCCTTTTTCCAAACTAGCATAAGAAGTATTTGATTATATATTGATTGGCTTAATTGATTAAGATATTATATTCTTTCATCTATACTAATATTTCTTTACCACAATGGCACAATCTTTGTATAGTTTTGGTGTGTATATGCATATCAAATTGGTCGATAAAGATATATTAAACATATCACTCTTCCATGAGTTTATCACTGTAAGAACACTTCTTTACTAACCATTTTCTAGCCGTCATCTCAAAAAAGGAGCTCACGATATTTTGGTTCCACTATAGTGTTAAAAGATTTGAATCGTTTATATTTTGAATAGCCTTACTTTTTAGAGCTAAACATGTGAATAAAAAGAATTGTTGACGACCTTTAGATGCAGAGTGAGCTGAGCTCACTATTTGATACCATAGTCTGCTGTCAAAAAATAATAAAAGTAAATCATAGAACTTACACAAACTGGGTTGGATTTTGAATATTATTTTTTTCAGGTTTAGACATGCCACACTTCATACAAAAATAAATAAATAAATAAAGTTCAAACAAATACAAGATTAGTGGATCATATCGGCTAAAATAATTATTACAGAATTAAGCAAAATGCCGGTTTAAGAATCAATTTTTTTTTCTTTTTAATGTAATATAATCTAAATGAAATTATACCAAAATTTCCCATCAAAACTTTGTAGAAATTGATGGCATTTTTGGGGCTTCTTTGGACCTCTGCATTCTGAAACTATCAAGACTGTTTCTTGATTCCTTAATTTCTTTGTGGGACAGTCTTCTTTTAGGGCTGGGGTCGGGCCTTTGCTTTTGGGCACTTTGGGACCTCAACTTAGCTTCGAATGAGTGTGTATTAGCCATATAATTTTGGTAGTTTACAGTGTTCCTGAAATAGCTCTCTACACAAAAACTTCTTGCAGGGGTAATTGATCCATCACACCCACCAGAATTGGCAAACCTTGGAGTAGCCCGGACTTGTGTTGTGAAAAAACCTTGGCATTCGATTCCAGTTACGCCCCGGATATTCCTCGAGTCCGGCATCGATAGGCTTATTGGGAATCTGTCCGAAAGTGGAGATGACATTGATTGGCCCAATAAGTCGTCGTCGGAACCCGGCATCCATGTGTTAGTTCTTCTGGATCTTGATCTAGTCCGCCCTGTATCAACCCCCACAATTTTCGGGCTTTCATATGAGGCAGAAAACCTTCTGCTGTGGATTGACATTTTGCGCTTATTTCCTGTACTAACAAATTTATCCTGCTAGAGGAAAGATTACACTTCATATAATTGTTCTCAAATTTCTCAATCAAGATTATAAGTTTTAGTTGTGATGAATTTGAAATTCATGGACTGACCACGGATTTTCGAGCATCGAGTTGAGTGTTGAATCGATGAGTCTTTCGGGCCAAGACATTGGTTTGTGCTCTTATAAGAGCCTGCATGCAATGAAAGGTGGCCGCGGCCCGCTTACGCACAAAATAGCCTCTCACTAGTGCTTGTAGTTTCACCAATCCTCGCAATGCCCTCAGCGCTTTTCTTGCCTGTTTTTCGCATTTACGGGCAAATTCGTTTCACTAAAACGGACAGAATTACGTATTTATTTAAATTTTGTCATCAACACACCGATATCAAATTAACTACTTACTAGGTACCCTCGAAACACAGTTTGAATCTTGATAGTAGCCCATATTTCCCGGCTGCTTTTACCCTGACTGGCAGTAAGCCTCACGACAGCAGCTGCCGCCTGGGCGACGACCGTGGCTGCGTCTGCGACCGCGGCTGTGGCGGCAGCCACCTCAATTGCGTGCTTTTTTTGCTCATTTTCAGTCTCTCTGTGTAAAGATCTCAGCCATTGAACCTCAGAATGTGTAATATTGGGCGGTATGGTGGTTGATTTATTGCACAACCCTATTGTCGAATGGCCGAAATATTTTGAGTTTTGTTTCTTATCCCTGTCTTTCTTCATCCAAAAAAGGCTCTTCAACCACCTTGTTGCTCTTCCCATTTGGCTGATTTTCAGAAAGGGAAATGGAGTTTCATTAAACGTACATCTCTATATACATGCAGCTCTCTCTCTCAAAAGGGGTAAAGTTTCATATAAAGACACTTTTACAGCTGCTCATAAAAAGGTTATTTTTCTAGTTTGGAAAATTTTCATGCAAATGTTAGGAAATAAAGTAAAATGCAACCCGGTGATCGTTAAATTTGCTGTCAGTGGTTTACAGAGTGATATGTACTGGATTAAACCAAATAATTTATCTATGATGATCACGAAAATTTCTAAACATGGTTATACATATAATAAATGGTACGAACCATATGACTCAATAGTCGATGTTCTGAATTTCTTTCGATGCATTTTTTGATGCATATTTTAAAGTGTTCAAAAGGATGTTTTTCTAATAGTCGGGTAAATGAGTTGGTACGTATTTGTTCAATGAAATCAAGAAGAGTTTGTTCTAATATTCGAGTCGAGAATAACATTGAGAATAGGATATATTGAATAATTGATCAATAAATATGTGAAAATGATGTGATTTACAGCTTTGTTTAGAGTCTACATGCAGATATAGATGCAGTGCCTTTTTATTAATTTATTGCTTTAATAGCCTGCTATAAAGTGTACCCCACTTGCATATAGAATCTGATTCTGTGAATTGATAAAATGGGCTTTATTTTTTCTTAACCAATCAGAAAACTGGAGGCTGGAGCCTTTTTGAAAAGAAAAAGTTGGCAAACTACTTTCTGGAGCAACGTGTCTTTGAAATGAAAGATATTCGAACCTTTTTTTCTAGGGAAAATTGCAACCTATACATCAAATTACAATATTTTGTCCTTGTTTAAACATCGTCTATTTGACTATTAAAAAAATTATTTTTTTTATTGGAAAAATATTATTCTTTTTTGACAATGGAAATAAATAGGAAGCGAAGTTGAGGACAATTTGCAGCAAGCTTTTTTTGTTTAAAAAATGAAAAATTACGAAAACTTGGTTACAAGTAGACTTCGCGATGGACATTAGAGGAATCCTTATATGTTTAATGGAAGTATTACATCTGTATTTATAATTTTAATAATCTTCCCTTTTCTTCATATAATTGTGAGGGTAAGGCTAACATGTCCCTATCTCAATTACCAGTTTATGAAAGATATATAAGTATTAAGAATAATGTTTAAATGTTTCCATTCTAAGGTGGAAGCTTCATAGTCTCACGTTAGAATGTCTAAAACAAATGTGGGTGTATTTGATTTCTCAAGTGATGGTGGTCATTCTCTGAATTACTAAGTGATTAATTAAAATGTGTGTATTTGATTTTGGATTGTGTCATCTTGGAAAAGCAATATGAACTGGTCGATTGCTTTTAACCCTTATAGTATGTTTACTATGTTGTTAGCAATGTTGAATCTCTTTGCCATGGATGTAAACAAATCTGGGTCTATCCTAACTCACTCAAATTCCTAAATTTGTCACTGCATCTGCGTGCACACAAAAAAAATGAAGGGGTCTCTCTTTTTCTTAAATCAATGCTCACAACATTTTAGCTCTAATTTTATAAAGATTAAAGAGTTATTTTGAGTAGCAATGTAACAATTAAAAAACTACAGAGTATCATATTCCCTTTGTCCCATAAAGATAGTTCTATTTCTTTTTTCACACAAATTAAGAAAATTTAGTTAATATAGTTGAAGCAATAAATTTTACTATCATTTTTCCTAACATATCCAAAGATTAATACAATCAATATTGATGGTAATTAAATTATATTTGCGATAACAAAGCACATATATATTAGGAAACTAATATACTAACTATACTCTCAAATAAGAAATAAGACTGTATTTTGGGACAGGCGAAAAAGAAAAATATGACTATTTTTATAGGATGGAGGGAGTACTAAAAAAGTTTTAGCCCATTTTTCTAATTTACTAATGCTTAATGAATCTGACAATGGTGGAGATATACTAACACCAATTATATGTTTTCATTGCACGCTGGTTAACTCACCATCAAAGAAGAGGGATGTAGTTTCAACACCAGTCAATAGACCATGGGAACACATTTTATTTGACCTGTAAAGCATGGACATTCTTAGGGTAGAGTATCACTGTTCGACACAAATCGGACATTGAACCTCCTTATAATGTGCTACTCATTGTCCTCTTTTATATATTTTTAATTATTTTTTTTAACATAATGCACTTGATACTTCATCTACTTCTCTTGGGCATGTAACCGCTTTGAGATTTACCTTGTCTTATTTTTTTGTATCGTTTCAATGTCTGATGTGCAACAAACATGTCCTCGACATGTGAAGGACACAACAAGCCCCACTTTATATAGTTGGAAGTATAAATTTAGCGAAGATTAACTATTATAATGTGTGTAACAAGCAATAATAATACGTAAAAATTCTAAAACTTTATGTAAAATATGTTTTAGGTGAAGATTTTTACATGCAAAATTCAAAATGAAAGCTAAAAGGTATAAAAATAGAGGTGGGAAATGTAACTTCATCACTTTAATTCGCATGTTATGTCCATGTCATGTGTCCTTGTTGGAATTTGCCTCACATTTTTTACTTTGACCCGGACTCGAACCTTTAACGTTTATTCTATAAAGGCGCATTTATTATAATGCGACTTTTGGCTTGTTTTTTGGTACAATCTAGCCTTACACGTGGTGAATATTAGATGTTGGGTATGTGGTGGCATATAAATGGCACACTTGGACATTTTCACATTATGTGAGCTGCTCGTGAGGGTTTTTGTCTCTTTAGTTTCTCTCATTCTATTCTTCAATATCTTGTAATTTAGAGTGGATTTTGTTGATGTATTAAACCCCCATTTGGTGGGAATTAAAATGGGATTTTTAGTAGGTTTAGATAAAAATTGATGACATGTATAACTAAAAGGTCATGGATCCTATGAAATGTGTAATTAAAATTAATTATTTATTTTTACTTAGATCAAAATTTTAATCCATACCAAATAGTGGCTACGAGTATAATCTGAGTTTGAAATAAAGGTTTGCTGTGATAAACTTATCTTTGTGGGGCGAGAGAAATACTTGAAGAAATCTTTGATTTTTTCATACATTTGAACAAACTAATTCTTAACTGATTTTAGTGATTTTGAGCAATATCTACTTGTAGATACTCAATGGGTAAGTAATGTTTGGAGCTCATGAATATTCGGACTCGGTAGTGGGTAAAAGTCTTTGTATTCTTACTTTTAGTTTCCATGATTTTTCATTTCTATAAATATTTTGTTGTTTGATTTTGTTCAAATACATTTTGGGACTAGCGAGTAATATCAAATCTAATTGTTGAAGAAAGAGATTCAGTGATTTTTCAAAAATCATATTCCCTGTTTGAGTTCCATTATTCAAAATATTATTTTTTTTTTCCAAACTCATTTTTCAACCACATATTTTTTCAATGAAATAATTTGCAAGTAAATCAAAAACTTTTTCCCATTTGTAAAAAATAATAATAATAAAAATAAAAAATAATATATATATATATATATATATATATATAAAATAGAAATCTAACAAGAAGTTGAGTCAAAGGTAGATCAACCAGATTTCTTTTATATATATATATATATATATAAAAGAAATCTGGTTGATCTACCTTTGACTCAACTTCTGGTTAGATCTCTATAAGACTATGTTTTATGATTTAGATCTGTAAAGATCTTGAGCAATCTGTAAGTTTCTTGAGGTTTCTTAAAACTTCTTTTGAAAAAATCTTGTAACACACTTTTTACCTAAAAAAATCTTGTACACTTTACACTGATTTCTGGTGATTCTTGGTAACTTCCACTGATTTCTGGAGATTCTTGGTAACTCACTACTAAGTTATGGTAGGTTTTGTGTAACTCGTTCTAGTTTCTAGTGAGTTGAGTTAACTCGCTCCGGTTCCTACTAATTTCTTAACTCATTCCTAAGTTCTACTGATTCAGCTTGACTCGTTGAGTTCTTTCACTCTATTTGGAGTGGTTCAATTTGGGTATTCTTTACTCATCTGCTTTGTTTGGAAAATTAATGTTTTCAATTGTGGTAGTTCTCTCTAAACCTTAATTAAATTCTATTTTACAAATCGCACCCTGTCTCATTTTATTGTGGTTATTAAGATAATAGCCCTGTCACTATTTACCTTTGTCCAAGATCTCCTATGAGAATTTGGGGATTTGAGGGAGCAGCGGATTATATTAAGAATTCAGTTTGATAAACTACATTTTTTATCATCCTTAGTTGTGATTACATAATTATATTTCCTACAAAGTCATATTATATAATCTGGTTTATAGTTTTTGTATATTTTATGATAAATAAATATTACTGTACTTTAATTCCTTAGTTGAAATTTTACATATACAATGAATATTTCATATTGCCTAATTGTGATGTGTGTGTGTTTGAGACTTTAATTGTTAACATGACTACTGCAGGTATATTTGAGGTTGAATTGTAGCATGATATTGGAGATTTTAGCCTCTGACACCAAAAAATGAGAGCCTTGTTATAATAAGAGATACACTAGAGCTCTTGATAGGGTTTGGGCAACTGATTAGTGCATATAGGAGATTAGAATTAGATGGGACAGCATGGAGCTCAGTTTCCATTCATCCTTCTAGTAATGTGATAAGGAAAGTTGGGAAAACTACGTTAGCTGAGTAACTATCAAAAAAGTTTGAAATACTTTATCCAACTAAGATAATGTCTAATAAATACTATCTTTTGAAACAACTATATAACTTTAGGCTTGATTCTTCCTCTAGCCTTACAAAACTGATTCAAGATTTAGCAATCTGTGATGAGAAATTGTTCGATGATCAGCAAGTTGTAGCACTGTTGAATTTCTTAGGTGGCATGTATAGGGAAATTAAAAATGCTTTAGAGTATGGGAAAAAAACTGACTTTTGACATTATAACCTCAGCTCTAAGAAATAAAGAACTTGAATTAAAATCCGATTTCAAAGATGCTAGGAATGGTGAGGGATTGAATGTAAAAGAAAGATTGAACAAAAATAAGAGTAACAATTTTAGCAATTACAACTTTTATAAGAAAGGAAAAATTCAAAATGATAAGTTCAAAGACAATAACAAGAACGAAGGAAAAATTAAGAATAAGATCAAGAAAAGCTACTATTGTGAAAAAATCGATCATTTCATAAGAACTTGTTTCAAGAAAGCTTCTGACTTGAAAGAGAAATCCAACTCTGATTGTTCAACGGCTATTGCATGTAATAATGATTCTGAAATAGAAGGAGTGGTCCTTGTTATCGCAACCAAAAGAAACACAACTGAATGGGTTCTTGACCTTTTGTACCTTTCACACGTGTCTCATAAAAGAATGGTTTAATAAATTTGTTGACTTAAATGGTGGACAAGTTCAGATAGGAAATGAGTTGTCAAATAAAAAGAATTGAAAAACTTAATCTCTTACTGAAAAATGATCATATTCTCCAGTGGATAAACTAGGTATGTGTCTGGCTTGTAGAGAAATCTGATTTCCTTAGGTGAATTGGATGATGAATACGATATAAGAATTCATAAAGATCTTACCAAATAAACATGAATGTTAAGGAAGTTATATCTACTTCCAAAGTGAATGGAATTAACACTCTGCAAGCTAAACCATTGGTTGTAAATAGCTCTGCACCTATAAATTTCCATTCTAACAAGTCTTTAATTGACATAAAAGATTTGGCCACATTAGTGAAAAGTGACTGATAATACTTAATAAACTTGGATGTTTTGGAAATGATAACATCGAAAAACTTACGTTTTGAAAAGAATGTATTATTGGAAAGCAAAACAAATTTCCTTTCAAAATTGGATTTCATTATTCTTGTTTCGTTCTTGATTATTTATGTGCTGATATTATGGTTCAGCACTTGAAAATGCTCTTAGTGGCTTCAAGCTTGATTTACTTGTAGTAGATGATTTTTCAAGAACAATATGAACTTGTCTATTAAAGCCTAAATTTGATACTTTTCAAAACTTTAAGCAATAGAAATTGATGATTAAAAATCAAACTAGTTAGAAAGTTAAAGCACTTAGAACTAATAATGGTTTTGAATACTATAATTTTGAATTTGACTTTTTTTAAAGAATTTGGAATTTTAACAAGGAACTATAACATATACCCTTCAAATGTATACTATTAAGTTCTAGTCTCCCTAGACTATTCTAGGGAGAAGCTTTATAAATTGCTATATATTCAATCAGTAGAATTCTTTCTAGTACCATTAACTTTCAAGTACAAGAACAAATGTGGTTTGGTAAGTTTTCCGATTATTCTAGACTTAAGGTGTTTGGCTGTGTAGCCTATTCTCATCAAAGTGAAGGTAAACATGAATCTAGGTTCTTAAAATATAATTTTCTGGGCTATTGGAAAGAAACTGAAGGTTATAGACTTTGGATTAGAGAGTAAAATGGTTTCAAGATAAATATAGGTAGAAATGTCATTTTTAATGAAAATGACATACCTTGTGTTGTTTATTCTAAATTGAAATTTGATGAGAATTCATTAGTTAAAGAAATAGTTTTGGAATATCAAAAAACCAATCCTATTGAGTCTGATGATTAGATTGATGTATAGACTTCTCAATTTGAAATAGATTAAGTTCAGAGTGATATTGAAAATGAAAACCAATCCCAAAATCCTACTATAACTAATTATTAGTTAACTTGAGATAGAAGTAAAAAGAATAGAATTCCCTCTACTATAATTGGTAGCGATGATTTTGTGACCATTTTCTCTGCTTTAGACTTTTTCAATTTTGAATCTACTACTTTTGAAGAATTTGTTAACTATACAGAATCTGTTTTTTGGGGGAAAAAACTATAAAAGATGAAATTAACTCTTTGATTTAAAATAAGACATGAATTCTTGTTAACAAGCCTAATAATCAGAAAATAGTTGATAGTAAGTGAGTTAAAAAATTTAAAGAAGCTGAGTCCAATATTAAAGATAAGAAATATAAAGTTAGGTTAGTAGCTAAAGGGTATACATAAAGGTAGGATATTGATTATGATTTTAAAAAAATAAATGTGACTTGTTGCAAAATATACTTCAATCAGAATTTTGCTTGCTTTAACTGCTCATTTTGACTAAAAATTGGATCAACTTGATGTTAGAATTTCTTTCCTAAATGGAGATCTAGATGAAGTTATAAATATGAGTCAGCCTAAAGATCTTGAAATTAATTCTAAATATGAGAAGCTTTGTTTGTTGAAAAAGAATTCCTCTATAATTTAAAACAAGTCCATAGGCAATGGTATAAGAAATTAAACTTACATGTTCAAACTCTAAGATTTGTTATAAAAGTTTGTGGGGGTCAATATCTGTTTATCTTCCATTATAGTTTGATGATATGTTTCTTGCTTGTTATGATAAAACTAACATAGATATAATCAAATCAAAATTAAAATCTGAATTTGAAATAAAAGATCTAGACCAATCAAAGAGAATTTTGGGTATAAAAATTAAAAGAAATAGAATTAATTACACTCTTCGTGTGAATTGGTGCTCATATGTGAATAAAGAACGTAAAAAAAAAAAAAAATTATGTTTAAGTACAATCCTGTTATACGACCTTTTTGCAAATTATTTTAAATTGTCATGTAAACAATCTTCTAAAACAAATAAAGAATTTTAAAGTATGAATCAAATATATTATGCTAAAACTATTGGATGTATTATGTATTTAATTGTATGTATTAGACCTGATTTGGCTAATGACATAAGTATTTTGAGCAGATTTATGGTAAAACCAGGTGAACACACTGTCCTGTATAAAATAGATGCTGAGATATTTAAAATGTTTATCTGACTTAGGGCTAAAATTTAAAACGGTGTAATAAATGTATAATTTTGAAGGTATACACAGACACTGATTTTGCAGCTGACTTAGATAAAAGAGATCTACTTCTTATATTTTCACACTCTGTGATGGGCTTATTAGTTGGAAATTTTAACTACAAAAGTTTGTAGCTCTATCTTCAACTAAGGCAGAATATATTGCAGCATGTGATGCTATCAAGAAATGAGGATTATTAAAAGAAATTGGTTTTATAGTTAAAGTTATTATATTATATACTGATAACCAAAGTTCACTTCTCTTTAATAAGATTCATGTGTATCATGATAGAACTAAGCATGTTGATATTAAATTTCATTTTGTAAGGAACGTAGTAGAAAAAAGGTCCAACTGAGTTTAATCCATCTGATCTTGGTACCAAGGTACTTTTCTTAAATAAGTTTAGCTGGTGTTTTGCTACAATTTGGCCTTACACTTGTTTGAATATTGGACATCGAATCTATGGTTTTGTAGTGGAATAAAAAAGGCACACTTGGCCATTTTCTTCACACAATTTGTGTGAGAGCCGTTTTGTGAGGATTTTCATCCTTTATTTTCTCTCATTCCATTATTCAATCTCATATAATCATGAGTGAATTTTCTTGATGTACTGAGTGTATAATTTAATTTTGAAGTGGAGATTTAACCCGTAAGCTTATCTTTTTGAGGCAAGAGAAATATTTGAAGAAATCTCATACATTTGTACAAACTGATTCTTAGGTGATTTTAGTGATTTGGAGCAATATCTACTTGTCGATGTCCGATGGTTGTGTAGTGTTTAGAGCACATGAACATTCGAACCCATTAGTTGTGAAAGGTCTTTTTGTTTTTACTTTTACTTTTTGCTATTTTTCATTTCTGCAAATATTTTGTTGTTTGATATTGTTCAAATACGTTTTGGGACCACCATGTCCCCTTTCCATATCCAAGTTTCGTTAGTTTTTGGCTATGCTTACTATCACATTTATTTTTGTATCACTTGTAACATATCTTGCTTGTGATGAATGTGGAGGTTTCTAAGGTTCAAACTAGCACCATCAACATCAGGATTCAACAGACGCGGAATTCTGCACTAGCCAGGGCACAACAAGATGGTTACACTTGCAACTTTATAATCTTTGATTTGCCATATGGGAATTATCTTGTTCCCATGATTCCTACTCTTACAGACCTTGGTGAATAGATTTTTGGTAATCTTATTTTTAAGAACCGTTTGTTTCCGATCAACCTGCCAAATTTTAGCCCATTCCGACACAGTCCCGAAAAATGACGAAATTGCCCTCGGCGCGGTTTCTGTTTCCGATCAACGTGTCAAATTTTGGACAATTCCGACACAGTTCCGAAAAAATGACGCAATTCACCCGGCACGATTTCATTTCCGATCAACCTGTCAAATTTGAGCCCATTCCGACACAGTCGCGAAAAATGACGAAAATGACCCCGGCGCGATATTCGTTTCCGATTAACCTGTCAAATTTTAGTCCATTCCGACACAGTCCCAAAAAATGACGTAATTGCCCCCGGCGCGATTTTTGTTTCCGATCAACCTGTCAACTTTGAGCCCATTCCGACACAGTCGCGAAAAATGTCAAAATTGACCCCTGCGCGATTTTTGTGTTCAATCAACCTGTCAAATTTTAGTCCATTCCGACGCAGTCGCGAAAAATGACGAAATTGCATCCGGCGCGATTTTTATTTCCGATCAACCTGTCAAATTTTAGCAAATTCCGACACAGTTGCGAAAAATGACGAAATTCACACGGCACGATTTTTGGTCCCGATCAACCTGTCAAATTTGGGCCATTTCCGGCACAGACGCGAAAAATGACGAAAATGACCCCGACGCGATTTTTGTTTCCGATCAAACTGTCAAATTTTAGCCCATTCCGACACAGTCCCGAAAAATGAGGAAATTGCCCCCGGCGCGATTTTTGTTTCCGATCAACCTGTCAAATTTTAGCCCATTCCGACTCAATCGCGAAAAATCACGAAATTGCCCTCGGCGCGATTTTTGTTTCCGATCAACCTGTCAAATTTTAGCCAATGCCGACACAGTTGCGAAAAATGACGAAAATCACACGGCACGATTTTTTTCCCGATCAACCTGTCAAATTTGAGCCCATTCCGACACAGTCGCGAAAAATGACGAAATTGCCCCTGGCTGAATTTTTGTTTCCAACCAATCAGTCAAATTTTAGCCCACTCCGACATCGTGGCGAAAAATGACGAAATTGAACCTGGAGCAGTTTTTGTGTCCGATCAACCAGTCAAATTTTAGCCCATTCCGACATAGTCCAGGAAAATGACGAAATTACCTCCGGCGCGATTTTTATTTTCGATCAACCTGCCAAATTTCAGCCCATTTCGACACAGTCGAGAAAAATGAAGAAACTGCCCCCGGCGCGATTTTTGTTTCCGATCAACCTGTCAAATTTTAGCCAATTCCGGCACAGTTGCGAAAAATGACGAAATTCATTCGGCACGATTTTTGTTCCCGATCAACCTGTCAAATTTGAGCACATTTCGGCACAGTCGCGAAAAATGATGAAAATTACCCCGGCGCGATTTTTGTTTCCGATCAACCTGCCAAATTTTAGCCCATTCCGACACAGTCCCGAAAAATGACGAAATTGCCCTCGGCGCGGTTTCTGTTTCCGATCAACGTGTCAAATTTTGGACAATTCCGACACAGTTCCGAAAAAATGACGCAATTCACCCGTCACGATTTTTTTCCCGATCAACCTGTCAACTTTGAGCCCATTCCGACACAGTCGCGAAAAATGACGAAAATGACCCCGGCGCGATTTTTGTTTCCGATCAACCAGTCAAATTTTAGCCCATTCCGATACAGTCGTGAAAAATAACGAAATTGCCCTCGGCGCGATTTTTGTTTCCGATCAACCTGTAAAATTTTATCCCATTCCGACACAGTCGCGAAAAATGACGAAATTGCCCCCAGAGCGATTTTTTTTCCGATCAACCAGTCAAATTTTAGCCCATTCCGACATCGTCACGAAAAATGACGAAATTGCCCCGGGCGCCGTTTTAGTTTCCGATCAACCAGTCAAATTTTATCCCATTCCGACACAATCGCGAAAAATGACGAAATTGTCCCGGGCGCGATTTTTGTTTCCGATCGACCAGTCAAATTTTAGCCCATTCCGATACAATCGTGAAAAATAACAAAATTGCCACAGGCGCGGTTTTTGTTTCCGATCAACCAGTCAAATTTTATCCCATTCCGACACAATCGCGAAAAATGACGAAATTGTCCCCGGCGCGATTTTTGTTTCCGATCGACCTGTCAAATTTTAGCCCATTCCGAAATCGTCGCGAAAAATGACGAAATTGCCCCCGGCGCGATTTTTATTTCCGATCAACCAGTCAAATTTTAGCCCATTCCGACACAGTCGCGAAAAATGACGAAATTGCCCCCTGTGCGATTTTTGTTTCCGATCAACATGTCAAATTTTAGCAAATTCCGACACAGTTACGAAAGATGACGAAATTTACCCGACACGATTTTTGTTCTCGATCAACCTGTCGAATTTGAGCCCATTCCGACAAAGTCGCAAAAAATGACGAAATTGACCCCGGCGCGATTTTTATTTCCGATCAACCTGTCAAATTTTATCCCACTACGACACAGTCGCGAAAAATGACGAAATTGCCCCAGGCGCGATTTTTGTTTCCGATCAACCAGTCAAATTTTAGCCCATTCCGACATCGTCGCGAAAAATGACGAAATTGCCCCAGGCGCGATTTTTGTTTCCGATCAACCAGTCAAATTTTAGCCCATTCCGACATCGTCGCGAAAAATGACGAAATTGCCCCAGGCGCGATTTTTGTTTCCGATCAACCAGTCAAATTTTAGCCCATTCCGACATCGTCGCGAAAAATGACGAAATTGCCCCAGGCGCGATTTTTGTTTCCGATCAACCAGTCAAATTTTAGCCCATTCCGACATCGTCGCGAAAAATGACGAAATTGCCCCAGGCGCGATTTTTGTTTCCGATCAACCAGTCAAATTTTAGCCCATTCCGACATCGTCGCGAAAAATGACGAAATTGCCCCAGGCGCGATTTTTGTTTCCGATCAACCAGTCAAATTTTAGCCCATTCCGATACAGTCGCGAAAAATGACGAAATTGCACCCGGCGCGATTTTGGTTTCCGATCAACGTGCCAAATTTTAGCCCATTCCGACACAGTCGCGAAAAATAACGAAATTGCCATAGGTGCGGTTTTCGTTTCCGATCAACCTGTCAAATTATAGCCAATTCCGACACAGTTACGAAAAATGACGAAATTCACCCGGCACGATTTTTGTTCTCAATCAACCTGTCAAATTTGAGCTCATTCCGACAAAGTCGCGAAAAATGACGAAATTGACCCCGGCGCGATTTTTGTTTTTGATCAACCTGT